ACCAAACATGCTCGCCCTTTCAGCCGTGGGGGCGTTATAATGTAACGGTCAATCCCACTATTCGTTGGTAAAAGAGTAGCCCAAGAGTTGGTGGTGGGTGGTGATGACTAGCTGCCTTCCCTCTAGTCTTACACTGTTAAATTAGGGACGGCTAACGCAGATAGCCCTCGTGTAGCTTTGCGCGAAATTCAAAAACAAACAAACAAACAAATCAATGCACTGCTTCTAATAAAATATTTCATATCACAGTGACTGTATTGATTCCGATTGAAAAACCTATAAAAAGTAATGTATTATAGTATCTACATCACAATATATCAAGTTAGGACTATAATCCTACATCGTAAAAGATCAGGTTAGAATTATAATATCTAAATCACAGTAGATCAGGCAAGGACTATGGTATCTACATCTTAAATAATTTCAATGCTGTGTATCTTGTAATTTTCCATATTACTGTGGAAAAAGCAGATTATATACTGAATAATAGGATAATAAATATTTCATTTCCTCACGGGAGTACGTTTGAAGTAACAATACTTTGTAGTAAAGTACAAAAAAGGTTTCGTATGCCGAAAGAGCATCTATAATGCATTTCGTTAAGAAACTGTATTTTCTTTGCATATGTAATCAAATACTATTGCTTGAGGTTTTATAACTTGAATAGAATACAGTAAAGTTTCATCTTTGAAATTGTAGTCTGCGTTTTGTTGTGAAGACTTTCCGAACTGTCATTGATCAAGCTTTCATCCATATCATTCAGTAGAACTAAAAGTTGTCTGACGCCACAGTCTTCCCCTACACAGCCTGAAAATCGTAAATTCTGTAAGCGTATTTCGTCATAAACAAAAATACATTAAGCCCACATTCTATAACCAGTTGAGCACTGTAATTTCTATCTGTACAGACCTCATTAGCTCACCAGTCACGTGGATGGTAATGAAATTCAACGAAAGAAGCTTAATATCACTTTATATGGGGAAGTGTGTCTAGTAGAATTATTGATTATGCCCCAGCTTTTGTGTTTCCATTCTAAAAGAGTATAATGATGGGTGTATAAATAAATAATCATTCAAATATATTTTTAATTCACAGAATGTAAATATTGCATTAACTTTTGTGTGGCGACATAAATTGTGTTATTTAATGAGTTTTACGGTAGTTTATCCACGAGGGTTTTGGCTGCCCCCTTCCTGCCTTTTTTTTTCATTTTTATTTTTAACAATAGTGTATAATGTATTCTCAAATACTGGTTTCAATGTTTAACTTTTCATTACAAAAATTTCATTAAAAGGCAGTTTTAAAGTTAACCCCTCTTTGGAAACATAAAGGTGATCATTTTCCCAATTTCTTGTAATATTTAAAGCTCTCTGAATCTCTACTTGATCATGGACTACTAACGTTTAAATGTTCCGAGGATATGCAGATTTGACCATCTGATTTGGAACCTCCCTCTTTTTCTCGGCGTTAATACTAGTCCCCCGGTGGGACAGCGGTAAGTCTACGAACTTGCAACGCTAAAACCCAGGGTTCAATTCCCTGCGGTGGACACAGCAGATGGCTCAGTGTGCCTTTGTTCTAAATCAAACAAACACACACACACACACTGTCAATACTGATGTATCAGTGTTCTATATAGAAATGAAAAGGTCACAATAACTAGTGAAAAATCACATTATATTTTTAAATTATTAATACAGTTGTACATGAAATAAAGACCATATTTTAAAAAACGGCCAGAAGAGCTCGTGCCATAATAGTGAAACCAATCGGTACGTAGATGCTAAAGTGATACACTCTGAGCTGAGGTACAAAACAAATAATGTACAGTGACTCGTAAATTTATTAAAGCTAGAAAAACATTGCCCTTGTGTACAAATAACGCACACCTTTTCAAGAAATCGAGTTAAGAAAATTGTTTTTTTAACTCAGTGGTAGAGTATGTGCTGATTGGCTGCCTTCTCTCTGATTAGTAGTTCAAAATTTAAGACAGCTATACCTGAAACTTAGGGTTGTCTGACTTCGCCGTTTCGTTAAATTCCGCATGAGTAACTGTAAATTATTTTCTCTGTTTTAACGTAAGTTCCTATTAGACATTCGAACTTGGGTGTTTTATTAAGAAACACGAAAGGACTTCGCCTCCCAGGAGAATATTTCGAAACGAAGTGTATGTCACCGGATCTCTCAGTGTTAGTTTGGATCTACTAACATTATTAACATTTAACTCTCGAAGCAAACGAGATTAATGGAGATACGAAAGCTACAACTCTAGTGCCGAATTCGAATATTGGTTTTCAATTAAAACTATAAGCAACCATTAATTCTTTCATTAGTAAGTGGGGAAAAGCTGATATAAAATTAAGTTCGACACTCAAAAAAACGAAAGTTAAGCTTGAAAAGTACATATCTTTCAGTTTGTTTGAATTTATGCACAAAGCTACACAATGGGCTATCTGTGCTCTGCCCACCACGGGTATCGAAACCCGATTTCTAGCGTTGTAAGTCCGAAGACATACCACTGTGCCACTGGGGGGCCATATCTTTCAGATGAGATAATCTAAAGCTATCTGAAAATAATATCTAAAGCCATATAACATAATGTAGTTATCTATTCATTAATAATTTTTATTAATGTTTCTTTCCCAGGTCATTTGATCCCTATAATAGGGGGCGTATATATATTTCTTCAACTTTTCAAAAAATGGGCACCATATCTACACATTTATACATTGTGGATGAATAACAATACGTTTATTTCAAGGTTAATTAGACTGGTATAAACATACTTTATTTATTAACATTTACAAATGGTATTTTTAACATTGCAAATGTTATAATTAATAACCTTGAAATCATAACGAGGATGTTGTTAAATACACTAATTTAATACGTATTTGTTACTTATAATAAACCTAGTCAAATTACAAAAGATGACTTCGAAATTTACTAACTTCAGCGAGATTATTCCATACAACACCTGCATTACAATGATATCATTGAAAAACAATGAGTTTTGTGACATTACTTAGCACTGAATAATATCGTGTCTCTATTACGAATTTCTCAAATGTGTATAGCGCCAGTTCTGAATTCTGGCAAAGGTGAAACTTTTTCAATTAAATGTGATGACTCACCGCCCCATTTTCATATATTTTTAATATATTTTACCTTCGAGTTGGTCCCCTTTACTGAGAAATTTGGAACGCGCATACAGTTCTCTTTGCTATATGATGGGAGTTTGTTTAAACGTACTAGTCATGCTAATTGTTAAAAATAACTAAACTGGTCACATTTCATCTTCCGAAACCTTGCATCGTCTTTTGTTTAATTTGCTTTCCTGGGGTTCGAAAGAAAATTTCAGAATTCGTTCAACACAGGAGGAAAAAAATAAACTTTTTAACAGCGCTCTCTGGGTAATAGTAAAGTCCTGTGATATGCAATAAGTCAGTGTCGTCGTGACATCTTTACTCTTGTTCCCGAAAAGACGACGATGCATTTAAATTAGATCTTTAGTAACAATTTTTTTCTTAAACACTAGAACGCAGCTAATAGGATAGCACAGTACAGCATACAGAGTCCGTAACCGATTATTTTGTAACAAAAGATTAAGGTTTTTGCAAAACGAAAACGTAATACAATTTATTTCGCACAGTTAAAAT